TATTTAATTTCACAATTTCATGTTTAAATTTCTTTAAATGACCAAAGCTCATTATTTCCATTTTATACTAAATTAGCTTTTTCCTTGCCAGAAACACACATTTTAGATAAAAAAAAGGTTGGGGGAAAGGATATTTATTTAATTTCAGGAAAGAATAGTAGAGGAAACACTCCTTCCCTCCCTCCCTCCTCCCATTAAATAGTTTTAGAGCAAAACTAAACTTAATCTTACTTTTTAAAAATTAATTTTTATTTAATTTATAATTACCAAATGTAATTGTATATTTTTTGCAAAAATAATTTACTATTTATAAATTATTATTTTCTCCAAAAAAAATAGTTTTTTCTAAATAATAATTTAAATTATTTTTAATTTTCATTTATTTTTTTTATTGTCAAAACTTTTTGCCCGCTTTCCATATTAAATTAATTTCCTGACATTTTTTTCAGAAATACTATAGTAGGTAGAAGTACTTTTATTATGTTAAAAACTCCCCCCCCCCCCTCCATTCTCTCATTTCCTCCTTTCCTCACTCTTTGTATAATTAATTTTCTTTTTTTTTTTATTTTTTACTATTTTTAACCCAAAAAAAGTCGCGCCAAAGTTTTTTTTTACTTTTTATATACCCAAAGGGATCGTTTTGTCAAACCTTTTAGTGTTGAGTGAAATTTTGCCTAATTATTTTTCTGGCCGTTTTTTTACTATTTTATTTTCTACAAGTTGGCTATATAATAACTGGCTATATTTTTGTTTTTCTTAAAAATATATGTAATTTTTTGGTTGGCATTTAAAAAGTAGAAAAAATTGTAAAAGTAATTTTGTAGTAAAATATATAAACTTACTTGCTTCTTTGAAGTTTTCTCTTAAAATAATGTTTATATTTTTATTTTTAACTAATCAGGGTCCTCAGATAAAAATTGCTTGAGCCTTAATAGTTTTGCACGAAACTCAAAACTATTATATATGTACATATTATATTAATTTACTAAATATTTTTAAATATTACTTAACTAAAATCCATTTAATAATTTAAATAAAAATAATTTTTTAATTAAATTAAATATTTAAATATCTAACCTTTTTCAAAAATTAAATTTCTAAAAATTATTTTGTAAAATCCTCCCCCCCCCTTCCCTTTTTCCTTCCCTCCTCAAATCCCGTCCATTTCCAATTTCCCCCCACTCATTTTAGCTAAAACCACTTCAATCCACTTTGATTACTTTTAATACTTGTTGACATTTTGCTTTAAACATAAAACAATTCACGCGGTAAAGCCAATCCAAACAAACAAGCAAGTAACGTTTTTACTTAAGCTATTAAAGTACTTTTAAGTTTTAGAAAGATTTTATTTTTTAAATAATTTGATTTTAATATTTATTTATTTTTATCTAAATTTGTCTGTTATCTTTAATTTCTAATCTATTAAAGTGTTTAATTATATTTAAAGTATAATTACACTTTGTATACTTTTTTGCCTTTTCTAAAATAAAAATAAACCTTTATATATTTAAATTAACTAAATATCCTTTACTTTTTTTTGAAAAAAAATTTATTTAAAGAAATATTTCTAAGAATACAATTAAATATTTCAAAGAACACATAAGAATATATAAGTAGGCCAAAGATTTTCTTTAAATTTCTTTTTCCTTTTTTAAGAAAAAAATCCAACAATTTGCAGCAATCTTCTCCCAGGATGAATTTAATTAAATAGATAAAAGACTAAAATAAAATATTCGAAAATTTTTTTTTAATTTTGTAGAGAAAATCTTTTTAAAAATTCTTTAGAAAATTTTAACATTTTAATAATTTTTTTATAAATGCGAAGCTAATAATTCTAAGAATTTTTTGAAAATCTTTAGCAATTTTTGCTAGTAATATTTTTATTTTAGCAAAAAAAATTTTTATTTCAACAAAAGTTTGTGCAAAAAATAATTGTGCGTCACACTTTAAGCCATAAATTCTTTAAATTTGTAATTCTTAAATTTGTAGGACTTGTGCTGAACAATTATATTTTAGGGAGTACCTAGGGTCGTCGATTAGGCATATTTAAATAGCCCCGCCCTCATTAATTATCTTAAAAATACCTTAAATTGAGAATGTAACTAAAATGAAGTGTAGCTTCATCTGTACCTACAGAAGGATTGACTGTATGAAAATACTCCTTTCAATCAGTTCTTAAATTCTTTGAAAAATTCTTTCCCTTGCTCTATATTTTTAGAGAATTCGTTTATTGCCAATCCGACAAGGACCGATTTCAATTTTTGTCCTCTTTTTGGCTTCTTTCCCCACTTTTTTTCAATATTTTTTCATTCCACACGGGTTGCCGTTGGCAACGACCACTAGCGCGATTTCATTCTTTTTGGCTGTCCAAAGCTTTTTGGCTTTTTCTCTGTTTGCCAAATACAAATAAGGGGCACATTTGTATATATTTTAGCTGTCAATAATAAAGCTGCGCCTTTTCCCTCTCTTTACCCCCTTCATTTTTTCAATATTTAAATATTTTTTAGGATTGAAAAAATTAAGGGAGAGAAAAGGAATATTTACATTATTTTAACCAAAAACTTTTTATTTAAATAAAATATTATTTTTTATTTACCCAAATAAAATCCTTAAAATATCATTTTTCTTAAAAGTTTCCCATAAAAGTATTGGCAAGAATAAAACTAAAAAATAATGGGTTAACATAAAATTGGCCTAAAGCTTTTTTTGTTTGTGTGCCCCAGCTGTGTTTCTCTCTATAAAATATATTTTAATCTCCCTTAAAAATATGGTTAAAGGGGGCTTCTAATCTGGGCAACTATTTAAAAAAAAAAAGAAAATATTTGTATTGAGGGTTTTGTCATTCTCTCCCTCCTTTCACCCTTCGCTGTTGGCAGTCTTCGCAATTTCCTTTCTATTCACCACTTTTTACCTCTTCCTGTTTTAAATTGGCACAACCTGTGCCTAGGCATTTTTATTTTTGTGTCATTAAATATTTTTTAAACGTTTTTATGTTCAATATTTAAATTTAAAATTGCTAAAAAAATAAATGAACACAAAAAAGATTTTCTTTGAATTTTCTATCTTCAATCATTCAATCCTCAATCACAATTTTTCCCCTCAATGTGGTAAAAATAACCATAGATTATTTAAAATTAGACTAATAATACTTCCCCCACACTTTTCTTTTAAATTAAAAAAATAAACACCAACAGGAAATTAATAAAGATAATTGATATATTCTTTAACATCTACATAATCCTTTTATTTAATATATTCTTTATATTTAAAATTAAATATTTAATAATAATATACTTTTTTTAATTTTCTTTATTTTTTAATTATTTTTTTCTCACATTTTTGTGGCATATTTTAGTTTTATAAGGAATTCATTCTTTTCTTCTTTTTTTTTCTTCCTGTCATTATCATCCTTTACTTTTTTTTCTGTTTGTTCTTGATATCTAATACTAAGAACACATCTATTTATTCATAAATATTCAATCCTCCAAAACTTTCCCATACTTTTTTTTATTTGAAGATGTTTTAATAAAAATATTTTTTTAATAATCTTCTTTAAAAATTTTTATAAATTTTTCTGTTTACCATTAACTTTTAGTTTACTTATTTATTGCTAATTCTGTGCGGTCATTAATCATTTTAAATGAACTTGAGGACTTAACATAAATTATATACTTATTGTTTATATCCCTTTACTATCCCGCTCTAACAACCAATGGTCTTTTAAAGAGAGTATATAACATTCTCATTTATCAGAAGAATGATAGTAAATTTATCCTCTTGGATTTATCCTCGTGCAAATTACTTAGAAAGTTCCTGGCTGACGTTAACAATAGAGTAATATTCAAATGGTAGAATGGGATTCAATTATATCTCTTGCGCAGTAAAAATTTTAGTTTTTTAGCTAAAACAAAAAATTCTTTTTGCGCAAATAAACACAAAATATTTAGAGAAAGAAAGCGAATTTTATCCAAGCAAGGACTACATAAGAGAATTACTTTATAGATTAGAAAACCGCGGAACAGCGCGCAAGCATACATTGGGGGAAGGTAAAGTTTTTAAAGTCGAGAGAGGGAACACATTCTTGTAAAATGAAAAAAAGAGGCCATTTACTTTCCAGGGTTATTTTCTTGGATTGACAAGGCCGTTGAAAAGCTGTCGAACGGCTGGCAGCTTTGTGAAAATATTTATGTAGATATAACTAGCTGCTCTCTTGTATGTGTAGACTTTTCTATATATTATTAGTAGTAGGCAAATTCCATGAATGAACACGTATTTCTATAATGTGAAAAAAATTCTTTGCCTCAGTGCTTAACCAACACTTGTGTGTTTGTTGAGAGACACAAAAATGTGTGTAAAAAATATATTTAAAGTTATGGCTTCAATAATTTTGTTATCTTAAAAGAAACGTCAATTTGGCACATGAACTTTTTTTGTTGGCCATAACTCATGAGCATATGTATGAAGTACAAATTTTTTCATTTAAATGTATTATTTATGATATTTATTTGTAAAATTAAAAGTACTTATGCTTAATAGCTTCATTATATTTTTTATTTTTTTTGTTAGATTATACTTTAATTTTTAAAAGAAATATTAACTACAAACTTTACTTGAAAATTTAATAATTAATTAATTATTTAATTAATTATTAATCAATTCTTTTAATTCTTGTTTTTGCGCAATCTTTAGCTCTTCTACTCCTTTTTTTATTTCGATTAGACAATCACTTCAATTTTTATTTTTTTCTTTATTTCCAATCATTTCATGACTAAACACAATATTAATGCATTAAATGACTCACAAGAATTTTTTTAAAAATATATTTTTAAAGCATTTTCTTTTTAGAATTTTTATTTTATTTGCCATTTTATAAATATTTTCTTATCTAAAAAATTATAGTTTATTTGTTCTTTAAAAATAATTTTATTTTTATTTTTAAATAACACATTATCTACATATTTTTTAAAATTATTTTTTAGTACCCAAAAATTTAATTAGAAATGGGTGGTATTCCTCATTTATTCAATACCTTTATTTTATTTCTCTTAACAATTTCTTCTCTTTGTTTTGGACGACATAAACATTTTCATTCTCGAGTACCAATAATTGACTTAAATGGAGCTGAAGAATTAATTGGAACAATTCGAGAAGATGAACATTTAGTTAATGTTTCCCCTCAATTACGAATATTACATGGAACTGGTGAAACTTTATCGGGAAAACAAAATATTTTTTTTATTTTTTTAAAGGCCCAATATGTCGTTATGAATTAAATTGGGCTGATGATTCTTTAACTGAGCCAATTCCTTTTGAAGTTAAAATACTTGATGCATCAGAAGGTTTAGCACAAATTCGTCGTTTAAATATTCCTTCTTCCTCCTTTACTCCACTTGATTGTGCTCATCGTTCAGATTATTTGTTGAGGCTAGAAGCTGTCAAATGTGGAGATGAACCTCCAGCAAAGAGTGAAATAACTAAATTGAAAATTATTGTACAAGATGTTAATGACCATTCCCCTGAATTTGATGCTCCTTGGTATTCCTTCGATGTAGATGAAGGAAGGGAAGCACCTTTTGAGATTGCTCGATTATTGGCTACTGATTTAGATTGTGGACATCCTTATGGAAAGGTAATCAAAAATAAGAAATTTATCAGAATTATCAGAATTTAATTTAGAAAACAAAAAAAATTTGCAAAATATTTTCTGATTAAACTTTAATATTTTCTCATTCTTCAATATATTTTCTAAAAAATATTTTTCTTTAAAACAGATTTGTCGTTATGAACTAACAAATACACTTTCGGACAATCCATTTCATATAGACGATAGAGGAGTTCTTTCAGCTATTCGTCCATTAAATCGTTCACAAGCACAATCACATATTTTGACTGTTATAGCTGAAGATTGTGGAATGGTAATTATTTTTGTGTTCTTTTAAAAACATTTCTCTCCCAACTTTAAGCGACGTTCTAAATCAGTACTTGTAACAGTCAATATTCGCCCAAAATGTGTTGATTCTATTAATTCTGTAACAGCAAAAATTCCAATTAATTTTATTCAAGGGGATAATCCAAAATATTTACTTCCAGATGCTGAAATAAATATTTGTGATAATTTAAACGAAAAATGTCAGATAGAAACTGAATTAAAGATTTTATCAGAACATCCAAATTCTTTAAATAAAGAATTGTTTAATGAATGTGGAATGGATGAGGGACTAATTGAATTATTGTCTGAAGAGAGTAATTGGCCTGTTTTTAAAAATAAAACAAAAAAAGAGGAATCTTCAGAGGAAGAAGATAATGAGGATGAGGAGGAGGAGGATTTAAATGATATTAATGGAAAAGTAAATGAAGACAAAAATACTCTTTTTGATGGAAAGAGGAGTGTAAGCATTTTTGAAGATTTTAAAATTTTTTAGAAAGTTATTAGTTCACTTTATTTCTTTATGGCATCTACAGTACCGTCCTTTTTAGCGAATTTAGGGTTGTTCAAATAATACTCTCAAAATTTCCTTTTTTTCTTCTATCTTCGAATATAAATATTTTTAAATTAAAGTTCAAATAAAATTTAAAACTTAATTTAATTGTAGATTGATATTGTCGAATCACGATTACCACAAGCAATTCCAGAAAGATTTAGCCTTCTCTTTTCAATGAAAGCCAATCCTGGAACAGAAGAACAACAACGTTTAAAACAAAATATTCTTTGTGAATCTGATGCCAATGGATTAAATAGACATCATTTTTCTGTTTATTTACGTCATTGCAAATTGGAACTTTTACTTCGTAGAGAACCTGAAGATGCTAGTGCAGAATTTCGGGCTGCTGAGTGGCGCTGGAATGATGAACGTATTTGTGACGGGAATTGGCATTCTTATGGACTTTTGTTTAATGATTTGGATAATGTACAATTAGTTATTGATGGAAAAGTTTTTAATTCGACACAAAGAAATCCAGAAATTCTTGATGATTGGCCTTTACATCAAGTTAAAGATAAGGTATGGAAGGGAAAGTTTGGAAATATATTTAATTTTTGATTGCTTCTTAAATGTAGGGGAAACAATTTAAAGATATTCCCCCTCATTTTCTAATATTGAATATTCTAATATTATATTAAAAAATAATATTAGAATTTCTTTAATTAAAAATACCCCCCCTCTTATTTTCTAATAAATAATATTTTTCTAGAAAACTCGTCTCGTTATTGGCGCCTGCTGGCATGGCCGTCAAAAACAAATGGTTCAACACTTTAATGGACATCTTGCCTCTATGCGTATTTGGATTAATCGTGTACAAAGCTTTGAGGCTGTAAATTGTGTACATGGGAAACATGAAGGATTATTAATTAATGGAAAAGTAAAATAATTCGAATTTCAAAATAAATATATTTATTTAGAATAATATCCAGTCTTCTTCCCTTCATTTACAAGCACAATCACCAACGGAAATGGAACATCTTTTACGTTCTGTACAATTTAATATTGACCAATTATTTTCTGGAAATACAAGAATCTCCCCTTCCACAAATCCTGGCAAACGAAAAATTGAAATTTCTGGAACTTTAAAATGTCCAAATGATTTAAATAAACCTCTAATTCCAATATATTCTATTGTGAGTTGGAATTTTGGATCTAATAAATTAAAAATTAAATTTGTTAGATTGATGTTAGTAAAGGACAATTTCATCCACAATTAATTATTACTGGTAAACATATAGTTTTTGCTGACAGGCAAACTTTAAGAAATGGAGCAGCTCTTTTACCTGATGTTAAAATTACTGTTACTGAAGGTAAGGGCTTCTAATAAAAATCGAGTTTAATTAGAGAGAATTTCCAAATTTTCAGGTAATGTAGACAAATCTTCCTTCCATAAATTATCTTGGTGTCGAGTACACATGCGCCCTGCTCGTGATATGGATTTGGAACTATTTTCCTCTCCAACCCTTCTCTTAGAAAAATTAGAATTGCAATTTGTACATGATAAACAAGGATTTGTTTTGAGAGGGGCTGAACACCCTTCTGCCTATGCAGAAGTTTTGGAGCATATTAGATATTTTAATTTACGTCCAGAATCATTCCCACATCGCTCCTATACTCTTCAGGCAAATTTTTTATTAATTTTAACAAAAAATTCTTTTATTCTTGGGATGAAAGTTTGTTTGGTTTCCCCTTCCTTTTATTTCCTTTTTTCAGAGAATATCCAAGAAAAACAGAATTATTTATTAAAAAAACTAAACAACAAAATTTGATTCCATCTTATTTTTATAAAAAAAAATTTCCTTTTCATTATAGTGTTCTCTACTTGACGACAAAATTCTTTCAAATGAGCTCTTTACCACAATGAGCATTGACACCACTCCTGTGTCAGTAAATAATGGCAAAAATAATGATGAACTTGACGAGGCTGTACAAAAATTAGTTCAAATTTCTGACAAATTAGATAAAGATATTTTGCCTAAAGAGAAGGGAGAAAATAATTTAATTGAAGAAGAATCTCCTTCTATTGTTACTCATCATTTGGGAGGAGTTCCTAGTTACGACCAACTTGGAGCTAATCGACTTCAAAATATTCTGGAAATGGATATGCCTAGACCTAAGGCATTGCTTGGACATCATAGTTATGAAGTTGGTCAGGGAGCTGTTGCTGGTTAGTTTTTGAATATCTACTAAATTTTTAAATTAAAATATTTTCCTTAACGGAGTTGAGGAAGTCTAGCAAAATTTCTAATTTTTCTTTTAATAATCTAGGTGGTGCCGTAGCTGTTGTTGTAGTTGTTTGTGTTGCTGTTCTGCTTGTACTTTTAGTAATTGGAGTACTTAGAATGCGAGACCATCCACTTACAGCAAAACGGCGTCGTTCACGTCGTGATTCTATGGTAAAATTTAAAAGAAATTTCATTTAAAGTTTTTAAAAAATAGTTGGAATGGGATGACAGTGGATTAATGAATATTACAGTAAATCCGTTAGAAGAAATTGGAGGGAAACAATTTTCCGCCGATGGACTTGAATATGAGGAGGATGATGATGAAGACGATGATGAAGATGATGATAGTGGTTCTGAAGATGGAGGGGAAGGGTCAGAAATTTTTAAATAAAATTAAAAAATTATTTATTCATTTTTAGTTATAGAGGAGTAGAGCATAGTGATGATGAAGGTGGGGATGAAGAGAAATTAGTTTTGCCTCATGCTGATGAAGGGTCTCGTAAAGGAGGTGCTAACAAAAATTAGATTTTTTATTTGAAAAAATATTTTTTTAGTTGGTTTGGAATGGGATGACAGTACTTTAGATGGACCTTCTTCTCCCGGACCTTCAACTAGTCACACAAAAAAGGGTGGAGCACATCGAGTTTAAAATAAAAAAATTTTATTGAAAAATATCTATTTTTGATATATAAATATGTGAAGAGTTTTTAAATACACGCAATTGGTTATTAAACGATCTCACATTTAATTATAAATTGAATCCGAACCCATCAAAATACTATTATCAAATTTTAATATATTTTTTATAGTCATTTTATTTAAAAAAAGATTGCTAAATAATTTAAATAATCTAAAAAAATAATCCCCAAATTCCTTCAGCTTTAATTCTCTTTTACCTCAGTCTCGGCACAATTTATTCTTGGCCCCTTATATTATTTTCAGAAATATTTACTGTTTTCTATTTGGCAATCTTTTTGAATATTTAATTTTATTTTCATTTATTTTATATTTAATATACCACAACTTTATTTAAACAGGGCTAGGATTAGAACTTTAATGAAAGTAACGTACTTTAAAATCAGCTCTGAAACTTTAGAAATTCTACTTTAATTAGTAGTTATACGGAAAATTATTTTTAACTTTAATTTTGCTTTTTGTGTTAATCCGAGCCCTAATTCAAAGCATTTCTCTAATATTTTTAATTATAACCACCACAACATAAAAAACTGCGAAACATTTTTCGAAATTGTAGCCATAACTTTCTTTTTACCAAAAAATGAGCACAGAATTTATTTTCACTAAAATCTGTGAAATTTGGATTAAACTTTATTTGATACAAGTACTGTACTCAAGACACTAATTTCTTTTACTCATTTAACCACATACTTATAAAAATAAAATCCATAAAATATAGTAATTGTATCGAGAATCTTTTAAACATTTTTGTAAAATAAAATACTCTTGATACAAATAATTTTCTTTCAAACTTTTTTTCAACTTTTCTTTTGTAAAAATCTTATTTCGAATAAAAATTATCTATCACAGTTATCTATTGTTAAATGGAAACTAAAAATCTGCAAAATTTCAGTTACACAATTTTTATCTTTACCAGAATATTAAATAATTAAAAAATAACAAACGTTTTTGCACAACAAACAATAAATTTAATTTTTCAAATTATCCACTCAAATTATTTTTGTAAGCAATTGCCAAATCAACTTCAGATCCAGTTGGGCTAGCTGGTGCATTTGAACGTGACTTCTTAATATACTGAATGCATTCAATTTCTTCTAAATCATCGCTCTCATCATCTCCATCATTATTGGTGCTATAATGATTGCTGGTTGTTGGAAAAGTTTGATTAGCTGTAAAAAAAATTTGTAAAATATGAAATTAAATTCAAAAAACAAACATCTTTCGGTTCCAATATAGACGCTCCTTTCACGCGAACGGCTATTCTTAAGAATTGATTTGAGACCGTAAGTTGGCAAATAACCGTAATGTAAACGCGGAGCTTAAAAATTTAAATAAATATTGTGTCGTTACACAAAAGCAAATTACTTGTACAAATTTGTGAAGTACTCGGAAGGTTACTCACAACATTCTCTTCTTGGTGGTTGTAACTCTCATCTTCCTCATTGTTATTTCCTTCATTGCTTTCCTCATTATTTTCAAAATTTTCTTCATTCTCTTCATCGCTTATATATTCCAGCGGAATTGTTTTCATCTCGCGCTCATCATTTTCAAATAATTCTTCCTGATCAGGCTCCAACACTTCAAAGTTACTAAATATAAAAAATAGACATGTTAAAGTTCAACAAATGTAAAATCCCCTACCGTTCTCTCTCCAATTCGATCACTTTTGATAGACTATATCGACCATGAATGACCTGAGGGAGTTCAATTTCAAGTGGAAACAGGTTATATACTATACGTAAAGAATTCATTTTTAAAATAACCACTAAAATCATTTAGAAAAATAAAGAAATGTGAAAAAGTGATAACAAAAGGTGATATATATAAATTACTTTATTAAAATTTGACGCAAGTCTCCAAATGCAATTTAAAAATAAACCCAAGGAACATTGCAACAAAAAGATAAAAATAAATAAAAATTTGTTTAAAAAACATACTATTAACTACAACAATCATGGCACAAAATTTTATTTAAAATATCCATATATGATCAAATAAAACAATATTTTGGGGAGAGATGGAAGGAAAACGGAAATATATGTGTACAATATTATATAACATTTACTGGCAAATAAAAGTTGTATAGGAGAATTTTGAACTTTATGAGCCCTTAATTCCTCAAAAAAATAATTTTGAAAAACAACTCACTTCCACGAAGTTTTTTGTTTTCATAAAAAAGGGGCTCATAAAGTTAAAAATTCAAGTTACAATATACCCATATAGGTAATGTTATTTTTAAAATTTGCCTAAAAATCAGGCCCGTAACCAGGGGGGGGGGTGAGGGGGGGAATTCCCCCCCCCGAAATGGGAAAAAGGAAAAAATTTGGGGAAGGGCTGGGGCAAAAAAGTGAATTTTTTTGGCCTACGGCCTTCGAAATTTTCAAAATTTTCGCCTGCGGCGCTAAAAAAGGACGAAATCTGGCTTCTTGAGGTCCAAAATTCAAAAAATTTTCGCCTGCGGCGCTGAAAATCAAATTTTTGGCGCCTGCGGCGCCGAAAAAGTGAATTTTTTTGGCCTACGGCCTTCTAAAATTAAAAAAATTTTCGCCTGCGGCGCTGAAAATAAAAATTTTTGGCGCCTTCGGCGCCAAAAATTTGGCGCAAGCAAATTTCCCCCCCTCGAAAAAAAATCCTAGTTACGGGCCTGCTAAAAATTCATCAATATATTTAGAACTACAACATTTGCTTTGCAACAAGAGGGAGAGAGATTAAATTCAGCAATGAGGATGAAAAAACACTAAATTTTATATAAATATATTTTCCCTTATTTTTTTTCTTAAAAATCACCAAAAAATTCCCTTATTGGCCATACAAATCACGACTGCGAGAAACCTTCAATTTCTTCTGGACTGGCTCAACTTCCCTTCTTTCCTCATCATCTACCGGTTCCTCTTTCTTTACTTTCTTGAGAAGCAGACCACGCGACAAAAGATACTCATGAATTTGACGCTCCTTTTTTTCAATGAAATCCATGAGTGGCAATGGAAGACCCTTAAAAATAAAATTAATTAGTTATTTTGCTACTAAAGGAGTAAATAACCGCGTGAAGATAAGCCGTTGTCCATTCAAAAAATTCAGCACCATCAATTGGTGAATTGGAAATGCTTTGAAGTCCAACATCCATATACGCATTTGAAACGTGTCGAAGCGTAAGTTTGCGATACATCTAAAGATTGGGATAAAACTGAAAATTCAAACTTTTCAACTGACCGTATGTGTAGTAACTGAGCCAGCCATTGGTACATTAACAGCATATTCATCACTTTCCGTGACCGCAACAATTTGAGCGATCTAAAAATAGATTTACATTTTAAAGATCATAAATTTAAAAAGTTACCCCATATTTGGTTTGGCCAGTACTGTCATGTCCAAGCACCATACGCACAAAACATCCATCAATAATATCCTCGCCCTCAGTACTTTGAACCAACGCGACAAGACGCGAACGGCTCAACACAATTTTTGACAGTTCACTTACTGATTTAACTTCAGAGCGCCTGGAAGCGTCCCGAAGCGCCAAACGAATCTCATCAGAACGCTGCTTAATCCAACGAATTGTGGGCAGAGGTTGCTGAAAAGAAGAATAAAAATTTTGCCTCAATGTGAGAAATACAAACAGTTTTGAGTTTAGCATTTTTGTACCAAACATCAAATTCCTCTTGAGTGATTGGATCCACGGCGGTACTTTCAAGAATTCGTTCAGCCTGATTATCAACACGAATACGCTTCGCATACTTTGACTTGCCAATAGGAACCTCAAAAATAAAAAAATGCGAGTTTTTCGATTCAAGTACCTGAGTATCAATAACCCCAATAATACGATAGATAGCGTGGAATGTCACTTTGTCCGTCTTTGTCAACATTCGAACATAGCAGTTTTTGACAAGTTCGTCAAAATTTTCTGCCTTCTCCGCCAGTCGAATGAGATTTGCACGAGAGAGAACAACCGGATCAAGTTCGTGAATAAGACGAACCTGAAATTTGAAAGAAGTAATTGAGGAGGAAATTTAATTTAATTTCACCTCCTCAAATTGGTCGACGCCGCGATTTCGATCAAAAGCCAACATATTAAGAAAAGATATAGAATAATAACCTTAAGCAGATAAAAGTTTAAAAAAACTTTGAAACAAACAGAAAACAAGAGGAAAAAAACTAAAAGATTTTCTTTTTATACTTTCAAAAATTTATAGACATAATGCCAAACTCAACGCCATAAACGCTAGATTTCAAATGGCGCTCCGACACGGGCACAGTGATCCATTTGCACAGTAAGACAATTGCACATTGGGCATCTGCACAGTGGACAATTGCACAGTAATTTGTGGTTAATGTAAGTGCATTTGTGTTAGACTTTCTGATAAGTTTTTTAATAATAAAATGGTTTTTCTTAAACAAAAACAATTTTCCCTGTTCTATAAGCAATTTTTCCCGTTGTTGGAAAAGTTGTTCGCGGGAGACGAAAACTCGCAGAGATATAGGCTCCCGAAAATCGAAAAACAATAGAGTAAACCAAGCGGTTTTTTGGGATAAAAAATTCGAAGATGCAAATTATAGCTCATTCGAAAGAGCTTTTTGAGTTGAGTCGGCTGACACCAAAATCATCTTGATTGGATGATTCTTAACGAAGTTATGACCTATAGGTGAATGAGCCTTGCGTTTATTTGGAGTGTTTCGCGACTAAACAGGCGTTTTGCGAATAAATGGGTAGGTCGTTTTGCGAATAAATAAGACTTTACTGTGCAAATGTCCACTGTGTAATTGTCCTCTGTGCAAAAGTCTTACTGTGCAAATGGATCACTGTGCCCAAGTCGGGACACGCCCGAAACGGCGCGAGCCAAAACGACGCGACCGAAACGGCGCGACCGAAACGACGCAGGCCAAAACGGCGCAAGTCCAAAACGGCGCACGGCCAAAACGGCGCAAAAATTTCCAATAATGGCTATTTATTGTTACAAGATGGACAAATAAAGCTCGAATGGTGATCGTATCTTTTGGAACAATAAATAACAAATGTAAGGTCGCATTTGGACAACATCTCGTGATAACAAAGAGTGATAACAAAAACTAAGAGTAACAAAACTATTTAGATCATATACGTACTATTAAGTATAACTGCGAGAAATAACTGCGGGATTCAGATAGTTCCAATATATAACTATATTACTAGTTAGTTTCCCCTATAACTACATATGTATATTACTAGTTAGTTCCCCCTAGAACTTTATAGTTATCCCCATATTACTACTGTAACCATCTAGACTTTAGTTATTTTTATTCTGGTCGTTGATGTCGGAACAGCCTTCACCGTTGTTGTAACATCTTTTCTCAACGTCTGAACGATCTTCCACATTGTTGGAACAATTTTCCCGCAATGCGCAAAACCTTATTGCAGAATTTTAATAATTTGAAGGATCAGAGTACGCAAAGGTGGATATCGATTTTTGATCGATCAGCAAGGACAGATCGATCACAAATAGGCTGATCACTAGATGACAACACGTTAATAACTCTATCACTGCAGTTTTGGGTTTGCGCCGTTTTTGGCCGTGCGCCGTTTTGGCCTTGCGCCGTTTCGGCCTGCGTCGTTTCGGTCGCGCCGTTTCGGTCGCGCCGTTTTGGCCCGCGCCGTAATGGGCTGTACCCGCTAGTGAACGACAAATCAACGTTTTCGTTGATTCGCGGCGAATATCAACAATTATTCGCGAACAACTTTTTTTTAAATACATAACGCCAGAACAACGTTAATATCAACGTTTTGCGCCAAACAACTGCGAATCAACGTTTTGGCTCCTATACAACTCATCTAATCGTTAACTCATCTATTCGTTAACTCATCTACACGGCCAAAAAGGGTTAACTCATCTAATCGTTAACTCATCTATTCGTTAACTCATCTACACGGCCAAAAAGGGTTAACTCATCTAATCGTTAACTCATCTAATCCTTAACTCATCTACACGGCCAAAAAGGGTCAACTCATCCAATCCTTCGGAACGAGACTATTGAGTACCGGCCGTTTGAGTCCATGGCCAGTAGAGTACCGCCGGTTGAGACTCAACTGGTCATGGACTCAACTGGTCATGGACTCAACTGGTCATGGACTCAACTGGTCATGGACTCAACTGGTCATGGACTCAACTGGTCATGGACTCAACTGGTCATGGACTCAACTGGTCATGGACTCAACTGGTCATAGACTCAACTGGTCATGGACTCAACTGGTCATGGACTCAACTGGTCATGGACTCAACTGGTCATGGACTCAACTGGTCATGGACTCAACTGGTCATGGACTCAACTTACCAGAGACTCAAACGGCCGGGACTCAACTGACCAGGGACTTAACCGGCTAGAGACTCAACTGGCCATGGACTCAAACTGCCGGTACTCAATAGTCTCGTTCCGAAGGATTGGATGAGTTGACCCTTTTTGGCCGTGTAGATGAGTTAACGAATAGATGAGTTAACGATTAGATGAGTTGACCCTTTTTGGCCGTGTAGATGAGTTAAGGATTAGATGAGTTAACGATTAGATGAGTTAACCCTTTTTGGCCGTGTAGATGAGTTAAGGAATTTTAGCCGTTTAGATGAGTTGAACGTTTTTGGCCGTGTAGATGAGTTAACGAGTAGATGAGTTAACCGGACACGAACGTTTTTGTATCTTTTTTTCTCTGCTCTGCCATTATATTTCTCTTCTTTTTTTCTGTTAATTTTCGTTCGTGTAGTCTCTCCTTTGGAATTTGAAAGAATTTTACGAGTAGGAATTTTCTTTATTAAAATTGAAAAAATATATAAAACAACAAAATTTTATTCATCTTTGAATAATGATTGTAATGAAATAAGTGTGGAAATAGTATGCGGATCAAAACGATTTCGTTTATAATCATATACTAAAGGAGAAAAACGAGAATATGCGTTCACAAGAAGTAGAAGATGATTTTCAATGATTTTGTACGTCTTCCCAGTTCTCGACTTTACTCATTTCTAATTTTTCTGAGACCTTTCCTAGACCTGCTCATGTTGTAGCTGATGAATCAGCACTAGGCATACGGGTAGGTGTTTTGCGTCGAATGCCACTTGCATGAAGCATTGAACTTCTGGCACTAAATGGTAACGAAGGGATTTTGTTTACTCGTTGGACTGAAAAAAGTAGAGAATAAGAAAGGTAGAAAATATGATTTTATAATAAGAGGTATTTCGGGTAGGAGAATGTTTGGGTTTAAAAATTTCCTTCTTAAAATTCCGCAACCTTACTAGACAAAAAAATAAAGAGAGACTGGCTAAACAAATGTAAAATTAAGAGAATTATTCTTTTAAAATAACCAGAAGTAGTCTACTCCATCATCCCCAACTGTTTCTTCCATTTCCATAATTGTTGTAGTATTTTCTTGTTGCTGACTTGAAAGGCTTTTCTTTGCATTATTTTCATCCCCTCCTTCACCACTTCGAGTAGGCTGAATCCAACGAAGTTTTTCCAACGCTGCAGAGGAACTTAAACGTCGAGATTCTCTTGTACCAGTTCCAGAACTTCCCGAATCCGAATGAATTTCTCCGCCAATTGTTGGAGTGTGTGAACGGGAAATTTCTGATAAATTTTAAATATTTCCTCCCCTCTATTCAAAAAAATTATTTTTTACCTAAACTTCGATTAGAAAAATCTTCTCTCAATAAAATTAATTCTTTTCGAAGTATTTGTAATTGATAAAAAATATCAAAAGAAGAATAAAATAATTTATTAGAATATTGTGTTGAAATAATTAAGGAATCTTCTACTTTTAATTGTTTTTATGTGTCGGAATTGTTTAATGTCTTCGGACTTCCTAGATCTAATCCCTTAGGGATATCGGATTTCCGACGTTTCGATGACGGTGCCACAGGTTCTTCGAGATCGCCGCTTTCGAATGCTACTCTTAATTCATTTTCAAATTCATCCATCTAGTAAGAATATTTGTGGAAAATCCCTAAAAATTACAGAAAAGGGACTGAACATTTATAAAAATGAAAATTTCAAATTCCAAAGGAGAGACTACACGAACGAAAATTAACAGAAAAAAAGAAGAGAAATATAATGGCAGAGCAGAGAAAAAAAGATACAAAAACGTTGATTCGCAGTTGTTTGGCGCAAAACGTTGATATTAACGTTGTTCTGGCGTTATGTATTTAGAAAAAAGTTGTTCGCGAATAATTGTTGATATTATTAAATCAACTTTTTTTTCTTAAGAAAACGTTGATATGTCGTTCCCTAGTACCCGCCCAAGTCGTGTCATCTTTCAAATGACTAATTCGAAACTATTAGAACTTGTTAAATTGCCCGGTATCATTCCGAATTATATCAAATTGACAAGCATTTATTAAAAATTCGAAAGTTACGGTGCAGTTCAATGCGTAATTATTCCTCATCAGCCTACTTGATAGTCACATCTCGCCTAAAGAGCGAAGTTAGCCACTCGGAAAATGAAAAAGGCATATTTCAAAGTGTCCTCTTTTTTCAAAAACATTTATTTTCGAAAACCATTAACAATACAAAAAATCATTTACAAAAAAACAATATATAAATTATTTAGTTATTAGAAATAAGAATTCATATGGACAAAAGATGATGATGACAGAAAATTATAAAATGGGAAATGATATGTAAAGTTATTTACTGAAATATTCGGTTAAAAATCTCTAATGTCCATAGAAATCCAAAAACTTGAAGGAGAAAACATCTAGAATAAAATATGTATTATGGATTCGCAACTAATTCAGGCTGAAGAAACGACGGCCTTTGAGCGCTCCACTGGTTTTCGCTCCTTCTGGGCGTGATTTATCTGATGATAATAGTAAAAAATTTATATGTTTTTCTAAAATTAATTTTAAATGTTTACCTTGTCACCAAGTGAAAGCGCCATTCCTTGCGATTTTGCTCGTATGCGAATATGTCCGATGATTGGACTATTAGTATCTAATGGGTCAGATTTCTCAATGCTTACATTTGCCAGAGCGTCTTCTCCAAAAATTGAATGAGCACAGAAGTTGGCAGCAAGGAAACCACAATCACCCTCTTAAAATAAAATAAAAGGAATGATGTTTATAAAGAACCTAATGCCGCATCTGTAGTTAATAACTTCATGTTTGTTTGCGCTGATAAATGCTCCAAATATTGTCGTAAGTCGATTATTGGAGTGATAACACCAACCTTAAATTTGAAAGTAGGAAAAGATATTTTTTCAAATTACTTTATTTTCCCATTCAAAGTCGGCCCACATCTTTCTAAACTCAGTGTCAGTACAAGTCCCTGGCACGATGTAATCCTAATGAAAAATTATATTTGTTAAAATAGGAAAATAAAACCATAATGTCAATGTGGATATCTTCTAAATAAACACAATTTCTATCTGATGTTGAACCGCGCACATCATAAGCAATTGTAGAGAAAATTACACCATTTTCAGTTGAAGATACTTTTACAGTTGCCTTAAAATTGTAATCTAAGTTAGAGTAAAATTAATCATAAATAATTATTTGAATAGAGGCAATACCTTTATATTAGTAAAGTCATGTGGTGCTAACGTTACTGGCGACGGTTTGTCAACCAGTTTAAGATCTCCAACAGTGGAGAGCTCTAATGATAAATTTTGAAGTGTGTCGGCAGTCTGATTTACTATTAGCACATCAAGAACGATATCATATTGATTAACATTGACGTAAGCCTCCGCATAAACTGAAAAAATTTGTTTTCCCTAACTTGTTTATTTTGTCAAAACCTGGGTCTGAGAAGCCAGCAAGCTGAATGACTTTACCAAGCTTTGAGGTAGCAAAATCAAATTTAGAGGGTTTTGGTGCCGTTCCCAGTGCTTGAGATAAGGATAAATCAAAGAGGTTTGTCCCAGTCACGCCTTCAGAAACACGTGTAGATAATTGCGTAAACATAATTGTTTTGTCAGGCTTAAATGAAAACGAATGATCAGTAAAACAAATAGGGTCACCTGAATCACTTTCTTTTTAGCATTTTTCATTTCAGCATTCTCGTGGCGATCAACATCTCCCTTTGCCTGTAGCATTTGCTCTAATGAAAACCGACATTCCTCGAGGAATCCATTAACAGCCTCGGGCCACTGTTCCACTATTAGTCGAATAGTTGTAGATAAACGATCAAGATCGTCTTCTGTGATTTGTTGTTTACATTGGCCAGACTTGCCCAAATGAATTATGTTAGCAGTTAATAAAAGTGCCTGTCCAGCAATTTTGTTAACAGTTGTAGGCACTCCTAAGGAAATGAATCAAAATATTTTGAATAAGTTTTTAAACAAAACCTTTGTTCAATTCCGAATAACGAAGTACTAATTTGGCCAAATCGTTAGCTACAGCCGAAGCAATAAAGAAATTTCCATCTAGTAACAGTTTTTTAAAGGCTGGTTTATCGTTGTCACCAACATTTTGAGTCGTAGTCGAAAACATAGCTGTTTGAGTCGCATAAGTTCCATCAGCAGTAATTAATTGGCGAGGCTAGAAATTTAAAAATTAAAGAAAAAAGTAACTAATGCACCTTATTTTCACCAATCTGTTTAGTAGTACTCGTTTTTTGCTTGTCATTATCTGATTCGAGTTCTGAGGAACCTGTGCCATCAATCAGAATCTCACCCAATGATTCTTGGACTAATTCAAAGACCTTTGATATCGTTTCAGATTGATCACTATATTCACCCAAAATCCAAAGAGTAGAGCGGAAGATATTGGCATTTCGAATTGATGGAAACACATCCTAAAAATTAATAAATAATTATGTTTGAGTACGTTAACCAAAGTTAAAATCAAATAAAAGTAAATTAACCAAAAGTAACTGAAGAATATGTTGTCGTAAATGTGGTAATCGTTGTATTGCCTCTCGAATAAACAAAAGAACATCCATTGCTGCCGCTTCAGATTGATCTGAAAGAAATTCCACAAGTACAGGAAAGATTTGTTGTGCAACATCAGGAAATTTAATTGTAGCACTATGAAGAGTTCGGACAAGCAATTGTCTATAACGACCAGTATCTTCTAATTGATCATTATTTGTCTTATCAATTTCTTTTTTCATAAACATAACCATCTCATTAACGTTACGTGATGAAACTAATTCCAAAGCAAGTTGTAAAATTTTGCGTCGAACTTCATAATCTGTTGTAGAAAGGACACGAAGAATGTCCATAACTAATTCTTGGAGAACTTTGTCATTTGGTAATACTTCACGAAGGCCAACTAAGCGGTCAAGGACAATTAGCTAATAATAAAATATGAGATTTAGTTTTATAAAAAATACTTTAACATTGTTGTCAGATTCTTTTACAATTAAATCTATATAAGTTGTGGCCGCCGCTTTGATAGCAGCTGGTGCAGAACTTAATGTAACCAAAGTCCCAGCAGCCTCATAACGAACAGATGGAGACTGAGATTGAAGCAAATTGTATACACACCGGATGAAGCGGTTCCTCTCAGCAGGATCATTATGACAAACCTAAAAAAACAATCATTTTTAATAATGACTAAAAAAACCTTATAAATTAACTCGACAATAACCAGTTGGAGAATATCACCAAAGTGTTGGACTTGATCAATACAAACTGACAAATAATCAAGCGCGCGTTGTTGATCAACATGAAGAAGCATTATAAATGCATTTCGTTTGCAAGAAGCATCCTGCTCAGATTCCAAAAGCTGAGAAATCACCTCAGGCGCATTAGGAACAAGAAATTCAAAATTTTCTGAATATTTTAAGATATTATTGTAAATAGTAGAAAACATACTGTAGATTGTAAATAAAGCCAGAATAGCATTTCTACGAACATAGGAATGTTTATGCTCAAGGCATTTGAGAATAGAAGGCATTAAAGGCTCCAAAAGTTCAGGTTCACGCAATTTGCAAAGGAAACTAAAGAAGATAAAAATATTTAAAAACGAAAAATTACCGTAAAGTAGATCCACGAACATACTCATTTGGATGTAACAAATCTTTACGATAAGCATCACAGACGAGAATCATTTCTTGCAATAATTTTCCGTCTTGGTTTGTCTACAAATTATTTTTACAATTAGCAATTAAATAAAATAACCTTTGGCAATACTTCCCAAAAATGAAGCAATAACTTTTTAAGAAAATGATCGGTTGATGGTAGGCAAAAACGAATAACATACATCATCAAACTTTGACTTATCTTTTCCCCAGATTGAATCATTAAAATTAATTTTTTCAAAGCCTCAGTCTTTGCTTTCGTATCACCTAAATTCTAAAAGTAAAAACTTAATAATAACTAAACCATGCTCAAATTTATCTTTCAATTGTGCCTCGGAAGGAAATTCAACATCATTAGGCACGTTAATTAGCGAATAACAAGGTTGCTCACCAGAGGTCATCATTTTTGAACTAAAATTTTGATATATTCTTTTAATATAAATCAACAATAAGCTGCTAAAAAAGTTAGTAATAATTATTTTATATCAGCCACGTCAACAAAATAAATGAAAAGTTTCATTTGCAAACGCAAAAAGAGAATAAACATTTATGACCATAATTACATTCATTGGCAAAAGATAATTTTGGCGAATTGAAATATTTCCGTTAATTTTACTCTAAAAATTTTCAAAATCCCTACGCGTTATGAAAATCCTCCAAGTTATTTTTCGCTTTAAATTTTTTTGTCATCATTGGTGTTATTTTTTATTTTTTAGTGATATGGATAAAATAAAAATAAAAAGTTCATTTCTTATAATTTCTGGTTATGAATTCAAAATTGCTGCTGAAAAGCAAATTGAATTGTCGAGCGAATTTTTAATGTTACCTGTTGACACTGGAAGAGAAACAGTTCTTGCGTCACTTTCCTTTAAACATGTCATCAATGTGGAGGTATTATTTTTCTTTTTTATTTTTCAAGTTATTTAAAATTAGTTAATGGATAATTCTGAACAAAAAGGAGCTGGTTTGGCTCTTCATGTCAATAATTTTATGATGGGAAAACTGCAGCAATACTTGGTAGTGGAAGGCAATAAATTGATGGATTATAAATGTTCATATTCACGACATAAGTAAGCTTATGATTTAATTTAGTTTTTCCTAGAACACTAAATATTGCCTGAATTTTTGTGCTAGCTATTCTTTTATTCTAAACATAAAATATCTTTAGGCTCATTGTATTGGACATTCTTAACTGTGACTATGAGAATATGCATCATATTCGTCAAATTCTTAGCAATGCAAGCCTTTTTCATCACAATTATGTTGTGCAACAAATGAATAAAAATAAAAAATCTAAATTAGAAATTGCTGTTCAATTTGTCGGTACGTTATCGCGGTCTTTGTTTTTCTTATTTTTAATTTAAGGACTAATTTCACACAATCAATGGTCAGTTCTTCTGAGTATGCTGAGTGACACAGGTTTTTATAGACTACTAGGTACTTATTCCCTTCCCCTCCCTGCCCAGTTATTGATGTACAAAATAGTAATTTCTTACTTGCATAATTTCAAAAAGCTGACCTTTGGCATAATTCATTCAGTCACTCTTACTTAAATTCGGATATCTTTCTGTTTTTGAATACTTGTCTCACACATTTTGTCCTTATTATTAGTAAATCGTTGTTTATTTTTTATATTTAAAAACGATTACAAATGAAAAGCGAAATTATTCAAGGAAGAGTGACTGAATGAATGGTGACAAAAATCAGCTTTTTGAAATTATACAAGTAATAAATGACTGAGTATTTTGTACATCAATAAAAAACGACAGGAGGGAAGTGAATAAGTATCAATGACTTCATATTCGAAATATTAAATTTTAGGGCTTGTTGTTCCCATAAAATATGACCGACACTCTCAACGTATTCCGATAATTCCAATAACGCAAAATGATCATGGATACATGCCTGACCCAAGAAGATTAAATAACAATCATAATAATATTGTCCAACAACATCAATCAACTTATGTCTTACAGCAGCGCCCACCTACACCTCCACATTCGATTGTACTGAAAGCACCTACATATACTGCTCCAGGATTCATTATTGAAAATAAAAATGTTCCTCAACATTTGCTTTCTAAAAAAGTGTTAAATGATCATATCTTTAATGGTAATAATCATCTGCAGCTAATTGATGTTCAACAACCTTCTCATTCGAGTTTTCAGCATCCATCAGTTTATCAAGTGCAGCAAACGGGTTCTCTACAGCAACAAACATCTCGTCAACATCAGCAATCAGGTTATAAACGGATCTTTTGTTTTATCATCAACCTATTTAGATAATCAGCAACCACAACCAAGTCATCTGCTTCAGGACGGAATTATCACTACACCAGAGAAACCGTTGCGCGTTCATATAAAACAGCAACAAAAAAACAAGAAGCAGAAGCCAACAGAAGAAATTCATTTGTCTGATGATGAACCGGAAATGGTAAATTATTTGTATAACTTCATCATATATTGCTTGCTTTGTTTTTTTCTTTTAGGGAGTGAAACCTTGTTCGTCAAAATATCTCAATGATGTGTTGTTTCGTTATCCACAAAATGCTAATGATTCCTGCTCGGTACATAAATCTGATCTTAAACATCTTGCTCTTGATGTGATGTTGAACGATACCATAATTTACTTTTACCTCAAATATATTCATTATAGGTTTCATTTACCTTTTAAATTTATTCTCATCCTTTATCTTTATAGTCTTGTCCCCGAAGAAAGGAGGGATCGGATATACATTTTTAACTCATTTCTCTTTGAAAGGCTTACACAGGCTCCTGCTCATGGAAAAACGCAGGTTACACTGGCTACGAGAATAAAGCGGGTATCTTTTTTATTTCTATCTTTAATCCTTTAATTTTAGTAGTCTTTTAGGTTGTGTTTAACTTTCAAGCGGTTAAGAATTGGACAAAAAAAGTTGATATCTTCTCTAAAGATTATGTCGTTGTACCCATAAATGAAGAAATTCACTGGTAATAGCTAATTTTTGATAATTATATTAGTTTTAAAATATTTCTTAGCTTTTTCTCGGTATTTACTCCTTTTCTTAAATTATACTATTTCAGGTATTTGGCCATTATTGTAAATCCTCATGCTGGCGTTTTTGATATGGATGGCGAGGCAAAGTATAATCCATCTGATAGCTCCGGACCTTTTCTAATTGTTTTCAATTCGGTATTTTTTTTTTTTTGTATTTTAATATTTTTAAGTTAATCGATCCTGCACTGGATAAACATCTCGATGTTAGGCAACAACTGAGTGAGTACTTACACTTAGAATATGCTGACAAACATAAGAAGGATGGAAAATACTTTAAAAGGGAGTCACTACAGGTCATCCAGCCTACTCTTATTCCTCAACAAAAAGGATATATTGATTGTGGATTATTTTTGTTGCATTTTGCAGAGCTTTTTCTTGTCAATCCTCCAACGGTTTAAAAAATTATTTAAAAAAAATTTATTTATTTAGTCGATTTCGAATCGTGCTTCATTTCGATGCTGGTTCCATGATTTCCAAATTCAGCATAAACGGAATCAAATTCAACAAATAATTCGTCAAGTGGCACCTCATGTGAAACCTTCAATGTTTATCTATCAGCCAACGCCTAATAATAACACAAAAAAGACTAGAAAATCGAAGAGACAACAACCCCTTTTGGAAGGTTAACACTTTCTTTATGTTAGTTTTTATTTTTGTACATTTAGCATTCCCTTTGATTGGAAGAGATCGACGTCAAAGCGAATCTAGAGTTAGTGAGATTGCACGTGACCCTCGTTTTTCAGTTCTATATCGTCCCAGATCTTGTGATTCTCTTATCGCAGAGAATAAAGAGAGGTTATATTCCACTTAATATTTTTATATAGCTTAAACTTTCAGGCCGTTAGTTCTTCAGCCTCCAACTATTTCGGAAATGAAACGTTACAAAAAGATCAGGAACCCTTTAATAGATGCAATAATTTAGTAAAGGAGTTATTTTTTCATTTTATTGGTTAATTCCTCAGTTTTTACTATTTATATAAAACATTTTTTATTAATTTTTTAAATTATTTTACATATTTATTGTTATATAACTACCTATATTAATATTCTTAATTTAACTTTAATTTTTTAGCAATTGGATTTTAATTTAGAAATGTCAGATCCTTATTCTTTGCATGGAGGCACTGTCGTTGCAATGCGTGGAAAGGACTGTTTTTGCATTGCCACTGACTTGAGATTGGGCAATCAAATGAATACTATTGCAACTAACGTTCAGAAGGTTCTTAAAGGATTTTATATTTTTAAATAATGATTTTGATTATGCTTCTGATTTCAAAATTTAACTATTAAATTAAGGCCCATCTTATTGGAGAAAAGCTTTTTGTTGGTCTAACTGGTTTTAATTGTGACACTGTTACGTTTGTGGACAAGATTAAGCAAGCAAAGACATTGTATGAACTTGAAGAGGATCGCCCAATGAAGCCAAAGGTTTTAATTAATTCATTTAGAGTGTAAGATTTTAGATCTTGGCACATCTTATTTCAAATATGCAATATCAACGACGTTTTGGTCCGTATTTAATTAATGTATTGGTCGCGGGCATTGATCTAACATCAAAAAAACCATTTATTGCTGCCTCTGACTCTGTTGGCGGTATGTCAGAGTTCGAAGATTTTGTATCTGTAGGTGCAGGTGACGAATTTGCATTGGCCTCCTGCGAAAGCAAGAATTTTAATATTTTAACTTTAATCTTTTAAATTATTTTAAGCTTTTTGGCGTCCTGATCTAACCGCTGAACAGTTAACTGAGGCGACTGCACAAGTAATGCTTGGAGTCATTGAGCGTGATGCGGCAACTGGATGGGGTGCTATTGTTTATACGGTCACACAGAATGGAATTACTTCTCACGCACTCAAATGCCGACTTGATTGATTTATTATGAAGAATCAAGAATAATTTTTTGTTGATCAAGTAAATGATATATAATGACCATTCAATATTTGATTATATATTTCTGAGTAAATTTTTTGAATATACCTATTTGCTATGTTTATTATATGTATGTAGGTTATACAGGAATTTATCTGCGTATACATATCTATTTTCAATTGAAGAAAATTAAAGTAATGTTCAAAATTGTGCAGCGAGGTTCTGAACATGGGAGTGATCAAGAGCAGCCTTTTCCCTCTAAACGGTTACAGGGGTCGACGCAACAAGGTTCTGATAGTGTCAAGAAGGATTCTGGGCACGAAGGACAAAAATTGACTTCAAATGAGCAAATTAAGAAGTCTTCGCCTCAAAGTTCGTACTATAATACGTCCATAAAAATTTTTATGTTAGCGCCGTCATCTGTTTTGGGATCCCCGAAGATGGAAGCTTCAATTCAATTAATTGACGATGAACTTGAATTGCTCGACTCGATTAAGGTTGGATTAATATATTGGTAATTTAATCTCGGTACTTATTAGGAATTTGTTTGTGATGGGAACAAAAGATATACAGTCGTTGGAGCGATTGGATCTCAAGGCCTGTTTCATTTATTTGGGTTTTCAATCATTCTTTTTTATTTTAGGAACTGGAAAATCTACTTTTCTAAGTTTTTGAGGAGTTTAATTTTCATTATATTATTTTCAAGGTATGTTGGCTGGTAATGATACGATGGATATGTACAGGTTTCTAATTTTAATTAAAATGGATCATGTAAATGGTTTACAGGCATTATATTTTCCGCCCCTGTGCACGAGAAGCCGTAGAATCCTGCAGATACCAGACAACAAAAATTTCTATTTATATTGCCCCTAAGACTAGGGTATTTTTTCTAGACTGTCAGGTAACTTTAATTTCATTAAAACAAAAAAAAATATCTTTCAAGCCATTGAACTGTGCGCCGTTATTAGAGGATACCAGTCATTCCTATAGGAGCAAAGCTGGACCAATGGAGAGCTTGGAACTTGAGGTAAATTTCAAAAGTTTGACGGCTAAAATTATGTCCAAAAACATTCAAGTCACTTCAATTTCTGCTTCTAATTGCAAATGTTTGTCACACTGTTTTTCTTTGTGTTGATTGGTTTATTGATATGAGTATAATTCGGCGACTAATGCGAGTCGAACTTTTCCCTCAATTTTTGAATGTCAGTGAAAGCGTCAATTTAGTTATTCTACATCAAAGAGTAAGACAACAAGACTGTCATCCTCTATTGGTCAATGAAAGGATGAGATTATTAAATGGTATATTTGCCGGAACTATTTTCAATGTAAATGGTGGATTGACACTTGCTAATTTGGGATTTGATGTTTATCAACAAATTGAATCAAACGTGAATTATATTCTAATGGAAGAAATTAAACCAAGAACAAGAACCGAAATTTATTCACCAGGTGAATTAAAAGATAAAAACTCTAAATTGATGAAATGTCCCTTCTTTACTTCCAGATACATTTTCTCAAAAAACTAATTCATTGGAATACGCAACTGTTCTAAATCGTTTGCGTATAAAATTGCACTCCTTACCAAAACGTGAACTTGCAATGACTGAAGGAAAATGGTTTTCTTATTTGGTTGAATGCTGGTCTAAAATAAAGTTAGAACTTCTTTCAATAACTGAAGATGGATGTACAATCAAAACGAATTACCTAAAGGTGAATTTTTAAACAAAATTAAGTTTTGAAGGAATTGTTTAATTATAGGCTCAATTCGATAGTGTCGGATTAGCATCTGATAGAAATTTCTCAACAGAGGACAGGGAAATAGGAAATGATGATGTAATCGAAAGATATTTGGCCGTGGAATATCAATATAACAAAATCCCAATTAAGAGCTCTCAACATCAACAACGAGAAAGACAATGGAAAAACAGAGTATTTGAAAAAACTAGATCCTCTAGACAGAATTATAATGTACAGGATTAAAATTTATTTTAATTTACAAATAAATTTATGTTTATAAATCAATCGAGCAGGACGTGATATAATATAATTATTTTTTGAAGATTATGGTCGTTTGCTACATAAATATATAACAAGGCCATAATATAATTAAATTTCTTAAAAAATATATACATTTATGTAGCAGTCCATAAAATGATCGCAAAAATTCGAGTCTAAAAGCTGAACAAAATCCCGCTTAAGAACTTGCCCATGCCTCCAACTCAGCCATATCATCGTCCTCTTTAGTCTTAGCCTTTGCTTTCGGTTTGTCTTTTGGCGCATCTGGAAGTTTATCGGTCACACTACTGGCAGGGATTGTACCAACATCAAGAAGTTTCTCATTGATCTCTTCCTGAAAAATATAAAAATTATTTTTCATATTTTGTTTCCAACCCAACATATAGGGAAAGTTTTAAGTTAATTAAAACTGAACCTCTTGTATGTCCTCAAGTTCCTTGAGCAGCTCGTCTTCGTCTATATCATTTTGTAGTCCAGAAGGATTGGAAATTGCTTGAGTAATTTCATTAGTTACTTCCTGACTTTCTGCAATATCCTCCATAATATCGTGAACCTTAAAAATTCATTCATAACAATATAATCAAGAAAAAACAAGCCTTGTCAACATCCATTCCTTTATTTATGTTCTTCAAAGCTGCAGAAGTAGATGTCAAGACACCAAAAACTTCGGAATGCAAAGACGCATTCTCCAGAGAGCTTTTCTGATGATGAATCGTATTTAAGATACCCTCAATTTCTTCCAGCTTTTTCTCATGAATTTTCTTCTCCTTAAGAGCCTTCAGAGCCGCCCGTTTATTGGTGGTGGCATGTTTCTTTGCGGTCGCGATAGACTAAAAATACGATGAGAATTAAATTGTAAAAAATTGGTACTTTCAGCCCAACATTTCCTTTCCCATTCAACTTTTCGTTCTCCAAATATTAAAAATGGAAAAAAATAAAATAAAAATAATTTTAAAGTAAAGGCCAAACAAAACAAACACAATTTACAAAAATGTAATGTTCTGGTATATTTATTTTCTGAATTGGAAAGAGAGATAGTGTATCTGAAGGTAAATAAATTCTGGTGTAGAAAGGAAAGGCCGGAAGAGGAAATGCTAGGCAGTAAAAAATAAAAATTTTACAAACCTCTTCAATTTTTTTGCCTAAAAATTCTTGTTTCTTAATTAACATTTCTTCCATATTAGCAATTTTCTGAAGAGCTTCAGGTGTTGTCATTTCCGGCTTTTTATTCTTCTCACCAAATATTTTGCCAAACAAACTCATTTTTTTATTAAATATTTAAATGGTCAATAAGTAGAGTCAACTAAAAATTAAAAAGATGACTAATTTAAAGAGATCTAGGTAAATAAATAAACAAAAGAAAATAATTTCTCGATAACTTACGTAATTTACTCTTAAATTATAATTACCATTTTCTAAATTACCATTATGACATGTTCCCCACATGTTTCCATTTTGAAGAACCTAATCATTTTGGTAATTTCCGGTTTTTTGTTTCCGTTTCCGGAAAAATTATCCGTTTGTTTTAGAAAATCAATTTAACAGAGTAAAAATAAATCTTTTTTACTTTTGAATAATTATTATGACAGAGAGAACTTCACGTGAGCAAAGCATTACAATTCAAGGTTTGCTAACACATTTTTAATTACTTTTATTTTTTATTAATTTTTCAGTTATGCGTCTTGCAAAACCAATCCCCAGTCAACCAATTTCAGCATTTTGTGGTCCTTCTGATGTAGATTTTTTAAATTCTGGTAATCAATTAATCGATCTTCCATCAGGCCAATACCCAATAGTTCCACATGTGACGAGTTATCTAAATTTATTTTAAATTTTTAAAGAGCTATTTTATACAATTTTAGTGATGTGTTTTTGGGTGAATGCTTTACTTTTTATGTTGCAATTATTAACACAACTTTATTTAAATGTGAACAAATAAATATGAAGGTTTATCTTTTTAATTATTTTTCTATTCTTTTTAAAGTTTAGGTTGATATTCAAACTCAATTACAGAGAATTTCTATTGCTGAAACTTCTTTTAGTAATGTTAGTTTGGTACATAAACAACAAGTTGGACAAATATTTTCTCATGAAATAAATGAACTTGGACAGCATATGTTGGTAGATTATCGGGTTATATAGTAGATTATATAAATAATTGGATTATTTTTAACCGACATTATAGAGTCCTCCTGTTTATATTTATGATTTGAACATTCGGCTCTATCTGAAAACAGTGCCGGCATCCAATTTTTCCTTTCCTCCTCGAATGGGAAAGAAAAAGTTTTCGGCTGTAGTATAGTAAACCGGTGGTAAGGTAACTTTGTCCGAACTTGCTAGATCGCGTTGATTTTGTGTCATTCGACTCAGTTCGACTAGCTCTTTCGAATGATCTATCATTCAAAAAATCAAAATTTTCCTTCCAAAATTAAGCTTACTCCCCCTATGTTTTCCGATTTTCGGGGACCTATATCTCGATCCAGAGTTGAATGACACCGAAATCACCGTGATTACGTTTGGACTAGAGTTGGACAAGCCGAGACCGATACCGAGATTCTCGGCTTTTTTCCAATATCGGTCTCGGTTTTTTTATTCTCGGTCTCGAAACCGATACCGATATTCTCGGTCCATTTCTCGGCGAGAAACGATACTGACTCAAAGACCCCAATTTTCTTGTATTTTTTAATAAAGCTAAGGATTTTTGACCTTTGGCTTCTGAATTTCAAAAAATTTTCGCCTGCGGCGCTGAAAAGAGTGAATCCTTCTTTACTTGCTTTACAAAATCCGAGCATTTCATTAAGCCCTCACGATTGAGCTCGCACGACTGAGTTGCCCTTTTATCTAGCTCAACTGAGTCCCAGTTATTTAATGAAATTAAAAGGTGGGAGTTATTTGGAGGATTTGGGTGTTTATGGGGATATCAATGGATTTGGAGGGATATCGAATGTAAGGCGGAGGGATAACGAATGTAATCGAATGTAATATTTATACTTTTGGAACAGAGTGTATAATCCTTTTACCTATAAATCCTACTATTGTATTTTTTATAAAAAAGGATGTTAACCATCAATCGAATCGGATCCAGATGATGAAGAGATTTATCTGATGATTTGGATGATGAAAATAATGAATAAATTATTTTTACACTTATTTTTTGACATAAAATAAAATTTCTGTTAGTCTCGGTCAGTATCGTTTCTCGGTATCGGTCTCGGCTCAAAATGATGGTATCGGTCTCGGTATCGGGTTCTTGAGTATCGGTCAATCTCGGTCTCGGGTTGGCCGATACCAGTATCGTTTTGTCCAACTCTAGTTTGGACGAAGTTACCTTACCACCGGTTTACTACACTACAGCCGAAAAATAACTTTTTCTTTCCCATTCGAGGAGGAAAGGAAAAATTGGATGCCGGCACTGTTTTCAGATAGAGCCGAACATTCTTATTTTCATTTAATAAAACTATCTTTAAAATACTTGATTAATTCAGATTGGTTTGCAGTGTTTCTTACATTGGAGGGAATGAGGAGAAATTAAATCTTCGAAAATTCTTCAAATTTTCTGTTAATAAACCTGTTGATTTGCTTAATCAAACATTTTATGAATTAAATGTAAAATTTTTTTATTTCATTAATAATTTTATTTTTCCAGGATAAAACAACATTTTATGAATTCCAAATAAAGAATTTAATTCCTAATCCTATTTTTATCGAGTCTTTGGCATTTGAAGAGTGTGGCAATAATTTACCTTATAATTGTGAATTAACTGGTTCTCCTTCTTTAAACATGTTAATATATAAATTTTTCTTATTTTAATTTTGTTTTCAAATTTTTGCAGAGATTCAGAACCTTTGGGTCTACAAAATATTCATCAATATATTTTTCGACTAACACCTAATGAACAATTCGATGCTGAAAATTGGATGAAAATTCTCAATTTTGGAAGATTAAAAATTGTGTGGCGATCGACAACGGGTGATAATGGTCGAACATTTTTTAATACCATCGAGAGGTCTCCATTTATATGCAAGGATTTGAGACTTACTGTTGACAGAGCACCGAAAAAAGCAAAAGTAAATGGAATGTTGACTGTTGTTTGTAATCTTAGAAATTGGAGGTAAATAAGATTTTATTTAAAATATTTCTATTTCCTCTATTCGATTTTTTTGTTTTGGAATCCCTTTTTTTCTAGAATAACGGATTTTAAATTTACCACATATTTTTTACGAATTATATTTTTTTACTAACAATGAAATAGCAACCAACAGATTAATCCTGGGAATTTAAACCAAATTGGTTGATAGCAAAAAATTTCACAGTCTATGGTCAAAACAGAAATGCCGGAAAATTTACCACACCCTGTATTAAAATATTTTAAGTGATCATCCTTTGGATTTGTTATTAAATTTTGATCAAAACGTTGGCCCAATTATTCATTGTTCGGTCAGTGGCCAACGACTTCCAACAATTCTACCTGGTCATAATATACAAATTTCATTTGAAATTTTGCCTTATGTAAAAGGGTTACAGGTTCAGTTTGTTGTTTTGCTGTTTAATTTCTTTTTTAGAGCATTTCTGGAGTATTTTTAACAGATTTATTGCTAAAAAGAACTTTTGAGTTTAATAATATTTTTGATATTTTTATTGAATAATTTGTTGATAAATGTTTTATTATTATTTGATTTTATTTAAATACAGTTGACATACATACTGTTGACATATTTTTTTTATTTTTTACTTTTATTGTTAACTATTTTTAATTAAATTTTTAACCTTTAGACTATTTCCTGTTCGTTTAATGCAGCAATCCAATCTTTTCATGGTCGTGCGTGGAGTTCCCCCGTTTTGTTTCGCAGTTTAGCCTAACAATCCGGTTTAACCTTCTCTTCCGTCCCCAACGGCAGCAGCTTGAGGCGAGAAGAGGGACTGTTTAATCTGTCTTTTTTTGGGGTAAGGGTGTCATCATCATCTAGTCAGTTATTTTGCTAACGTTGAATTAAAAATGCTAGTTCCATGAATTAAGTTAGAAAAAGATCCGCAATAGTCAGATAAATACATAGTTGCTTTTCTTCCTTTTTATGAGAAAAGCAGTTAGCAAAATAAATTAGCTTTGATACAACGGATAATTTCGTGGAGCAGTCGATAACAAATTAAGCGGAAAAATGATAAGGCTAAATTATTTTTTGGAGGACGTTTAAAAAATATAATTAATAGAGAGGAGCATTTAAGGATGGGTAAAAAGTTGTGAAAGAGAGAACTGGTGGTCACGGGTGAAGCGGAAGATTGTCGGGGGAAGGTGGTGTAGATAACCCGATTCGCTGCTGCAAAAACTGCTGTTGCTTGTTTTTGCCCTTGCCAAACGGTTTTCAGGCGCGATTTTTCCCGCTTTTCTTTGATAAGCTGCCAGGCTTAATGCGCAGAATGCGATGGAAGATAGAATCAGTCATTCCTTCTAATTGGACGGATAGGCATATTAAACGGCTGCTATTTACTGATTATTTTGGATGCTTATGTTGGGGACGAAGAAAGGCGACCTCTTCTCGCCAGCCGCCGGTTATGTTCGTTCAACTGATACCCATTTCCTCTTCCTCCGATAAAGCAAAACATTAAATCAGAATGAATGAGGCTGGCGTTTAACTACTATTTACTACCAGAATTAGCAAATAACTAGCTATCCGTTAAAGCCTTCATATTTATTGGTTGCGCTTTTGCATTGCCACTTGTATTTCTGTTATTATTCACCAGAAAACGCTTTTTAACTATAAAGCTTCTGAATATTTTTTCCTTTGTATTTTTAGCTTTAAAAATATTTTTTCTTAAATTTTAGATTTAATTCTAATTTTAATTAAATTACTCTTTAATATGCAACAATCACAACAACAAAGACCTGAACATCCTGCAACATTTAATGAATTGCTAATTAATGAAGTTATTTTTATTTAATATTTTTGTATGATCTGTAATTTTATTTGGAATTTCAGGTTAGAGCGCATCCACAACTTTACAATCAACAGCACCGTGTTTGCACTGATAACGGTGAGAGGAACGTTATTTGGGTAAATTTCTTGTTTATGTTTACAAAAGTAAACACTTTTAGGAGGTTATTGCCCAAAGAATCGACGAAACTGTAAACGGTGAATTTGCGAAAAAACGTTGGCTTCAAATGCGCGATCGTTATAGAAAGGAGCTGAAAATGGCACTTCGAACTTCTATTCAACCGAAATGGCCATATTTTGCCAAACTTTCGTGGCTCGATCCTTATTTGAAAGGAGCAAAGTAATGACGACAATTTAATTATTTAAAATAATTTTTTCTTTAAAGGAAAGTTGATTCTGCGTCTAATTCGCCGTTAGGACAACAGAACAATTTAATTGCCGAGTTTGGGATCGCTTCTAAGCAGCAAGACTTTAATGGACTGAATGGAATTTTTGGTGGGACCGAAAATAATAATGGTAGCTATTTAGAATAATCCATTTTTAATTCCAAAAATTTATTAAAAATTTTTTCTTTAACCCCCCTCCACTCTATTAGTTTTAATATTCTTTCGGGCATTAATTAATAATGTAAATAGATCACCAACTCCAATTCCCTTCACCAACCGTTAATCTGTTAGAAACATTGATGGCAGCAAGTCGTGAATTTTTAGAGAGACAACAACGGGAAAAACAAGAAAATGTCTCTACAAGTTCAGCAATTTCTAATAATGATTTGAATATTCAACAATTACATAATGATTTATTATTTGATAATGCTACAATTGCCTCCTCTTCAGCAAACAGTGATGAGAGTATTGCGGATCAACAAAATAATAATAGTTATTTAAATGATGGGAATGAAGATATTGAAGGAATTGGACTGGCTGGAGGTGAAAATACTGATTTTGCTAACATTCGAAATGTTAATGGTAATAATGGAGAAGCAACAGATAAGGTGAGAAAAATTTTTTTATTTCATTTTTACATTATATATATAATAAATAGAAAATCTTTTTTTAAAAAAAAAATATCGGCCGGCCGAAGGCCGGCCGCTCCACAGAAGCCTGACATCTTGGGGTAGTTTGGTACGGGCTATTCAGGAAAACTATAGAAAAAATTTTTGGGGGGTCGCAAGAGTCTCAAACTGAATGATGGGTTTCAGTATCTCGAAAAAGTTCAATAGAAAGGTGGTTTGGGCCTGGGGTGAGGGCACTCCGCCATTGATAGTAGATAATGATAGAAAAAAATTCGGGTCGAAAAAGTTAAGTCTTAAGGTAGAAAACCCCGTGAGACTGAAACGTCCTACCCGTACTCAAATGGTTTTTCGACTGTAACTTTTTTTTGAATGGGCGTAGCGTGATGGGACCTGGGGCGTTCCATAGGGTATCTGAATGCGCATTTAACAATATATAATTTGTGGGGGTCACTTGAGTCTGGGGGTGGGGTACTTGAGTCTGAAGGGGGAAATTGCTTATATTGAAAAAGTCTTGCTGGGGAACGACTTTGGTGGTGTTGGGTTATTTGTAGGCATAGGTATGGAGAACATATTTGTTGTTGGACATTTGAGTCTGAGATGAAATCCTGGGGAGTTATGAGTCAAAGAGTCAGTGCGACTCGAGTCGATTTTTGGAAAGTGAATTGAAACCCGTTTTCGATAGCTCATTAGAAAGAGCGTCCCCTGGCGGTCAGCATAAGGTATAATATGTCGGGGGTCCACTTGAGTCTCAGAAAGTTATGGGTCAAGAAGTGCTGAGACTCAAATCTTTCTGAGACTCTAACTCCATAGGGAATTTTGTCCTCCGAGGCCGAAGGCCGAGGAGTTGGAGGGCCGAAGGCGAGGGCCGAAGGCCCGAGCCTTCATTACATCTAAAAGGCAGAGCAATTGTCAAAGGCAGAGCATAGATACTCCGAGGCCGAAAGCCGGGGAGTTGGGGTGCCGAAGGCCCGCCGTAGGCGAGGGCCGAAGGCCCGAGCTTTCATTACATCTAAAAGGCAGAGCAATTGTCAAAGGCAGAGCATAGATCCTCAGAGGCCGAAGGCCCGAGCTTTCATTACATCTAAAAGACAGCAATTGTCAAAGGCAGAGCATAGATCCTCCGAGGCCGAAGGCCGAGGAGTTGGCGGGCCGAAGGCCCGCCGTAGGCGAGGGCCGAAGGCCCGAGCTTTCATTACATCTAAAAGGCAGAGCAATTGTCAAAGGCAGAGCATAGATCCTCAGAGGCCGAAGGCCCGAGCTTTCATTACATCTAAAAGACAGCAATTGTCAAAGGCAGAGCATAGATCCTCCGAGGCCGAAGGCCCGAGCTTTCATTACATCTAAAAGGCAGAGCAATTGTCAAAGGCAGAGCATAGATCCTCCGAGGCCGAAGGCCGAGGAGTTGGCGGGCCGAAGGCCCGCCGTAGGCGAGGGCCGAAGGCCCGAGCTTTCATTACGTCTAAAAGGCAGAGCAATTGTCAAAGGTAGAGCATAGATCCTCCGAGGCCGAAGGCAGAGGAGTTGGCGGGCCGAAGGCCCGCCGTAGGCGAGGGCCGAAGGCCCGAGCTTTAATTACATCTAAAAGGCAGAGCAATTGTCAAAGGCAAAGCATTGATCCTCCGAGGCCGAAGGCCGAGGAGTTGGCGGGCCGAAGGCCCGCCGTAGGCGAGGGCCGAAGGCCCGAGCTTTCATTACATCTAAAAGGCAGAGCATTTGTCAAAGGCAGAGCATAGATCCTCCGAGGCCGAAGGCCGAGGAGTTGGCGGCTAAACTTTATGGCGAAGGCCGAAGGCCCGGAGCAACGAAAAGGCAGGGCTGAACTTTACCGGCGAGGGCCGAAGGCCCGGAGCAATGAAAAGGCAGGGCTAAACTTTATGGCGAGGGCCGAAGGCCCGGAGCAATGAAAAGGCAGGGGTAATCAAATATATTCCAGGCATCCTAACATTCTAGCAGCGCGCGAAGCGCGCCCCAAAGCCGATAGGCTTTTCAACGTGCAGAGCCCAATTTAAACCCAAAGCAAAATTAAACTGCCATTGCATACGTAAGTTACCGCCATCGCATACGTAACTACAGCTAGTTTATATCATATAACAAGTACTTGAATTTAGTTTGGTTCGAAATTCATAATTTTGATTTTTGAGCGTTTTTTTTGATTTTAAGAGAAAGAAGAAAATAAGCAAGGAATTTGAAAGGAAAATTTGTGAAGATAGTCGGATATTATTGTTAAAAATTTAAATCATACCTTTTTTCAAATTAGAAACAATCCGAACTTCAATCACGTTCTCGTATTCGCAATTCGCCATTTATGATCCGTCGTGGTTTTGTCGGGGATAGCAAAGTTACCAAAAATCAACAACGTGGCCGATCCAAATTTAACATTAACTGCAACAAAAAAATTAAAAAATTTGATATTGCTTCATTTTGCATGAATGGAAATAATAATATCAACAATGTTAAAGATAAAGCATATTTAGAAGAAATTGAGACGGCAACAATTTTAGATGAGGATGAAGATGAGGATTGCCTTTTTGCACGTCTTGTTGTGGCTAGACTTAAAAAATTTAGTCCAAAGAAACGAAGAGAAGTGAAAATTAAAATTTAAATTGAATTGTTTAATTTTAATTTAGATGCGCTCACGTATACATCATTGGTTGGATCAAGAGGAAGATAAAATTGAAATGACAACGAACGATGAGGGGAAGGAGCTCGATACGACACAGTCAAATGAAGACAATAATGATGATTTAATCCGATTATAAATTAATTTTAATTTAAGATATACTCATTTTTTCATTTTATTCACTTTAATTTAATGTTATGTCTTTTTGGAGATTGGACTTTAAATTAATTGTTTGATTAATTTTAAATATTTAATTTATAGTTTAATTTAACCAAATTTAATTCTTTTTTAGTCCGATCTCTAATTCTTTTTCCTCACTCTTTCACTACCCCAATCTTAAAGCCGGAATTTTGTGCTTTTAAAAGACATCCAGGACATGAAAGGGAAAAATTAATTAAATAATAATTAATTAACGTCATTTTACATCAATCCTTAACACATTTTAAATTTTAATTAAGTTTACATTACACAAAATTTCGTGCCTATTTTATTGCTCAACAAACACCTTGTGATTGCCATTTTATCTACACTATTCATTTTGTCTCTATTTACTCGAATTTTGTCTATATATTTGATTGTCTTTGCTTTTCCTTGATAAATTATAAAAATATAACATGGATTTTAAAATATTTTTCAGAAACATTTTCTAAAATTTTTCAAAATCTATTTTCTAATTAGAAAAAAAGTTAGGTAATGTTTTAGAAAAAAATAATTTCCTTACAATATTTTATTAATTAAAACAAAAACTTTTTCTTATTTGATTACTTTTCCACATTTTGTAATTTTATCCATCTTTTGTTTAATAATAATGTTTTTGAAGGGAAAAAGTTGGCCGTCGAGAGTTAACTAATACTTGAGTGGGAAGCAGCAAATTAAATAGGGGGTGGGGATATACAAAGAGGAAATGATGGCAACTGAATAAAAAAAAGAAGAATTTTTGTGTTGACTTTGAATGAGTTTTTGTGTTGTTTTTAATTTTCACACCAATCATCCTCCGCCTTTTTATACAAAATATGAGCAAATAATATACTTATAATCATCAGCTTCTTTAAAGACTTTTCTTGAATTGTACATATATTTTCTAGGCTTTTAAAAAATTGTTGAATTGTGTTTGAAGTGGGACGATAAAATGTTATATAAAACAAAATAATATTATATAATATTTTTTAGTTATCGCAGAATTTGTTTAGGATAACGACAAGGAAATTCATTTTAAGAAAATTTTGTTTTATTTTCAAAAATTATTTAAAAAAGTTTTTATGAAGAAATTAATGAATGAATGACTTTGAGTTAAATTATGTAATTAAAGCTTGGTATTATTTTTGTTTCTAAAAGTATGTTTACATATTTGTTTGGCAACAGATGTTTGTTGTTTTATATTTAGTATATGTACATAAATAGGAAAAATATATTTAAAAAATAATTTTTAAAGTTTTGGCCATATTTTCTTTATTTAAAAATTAAAAAAAGGATAAATGTAGGCGGAGTGTATTTATTTATTTAATACTTTCCTTCCGTCCAATCTCTTTTCTTCTTCCTCATTTTTTTTTAAATTTTAGGCATTTAATTAATTGTATAAAAAGTATTTTTTAATTAATTAATTTTTTTAAAATAAAGAAATGAAAGAAGAAAATGAGAACGGAATTAATTATTTACAAAAATGTTCTCAAAACAACTTAAATAATTCACCAAAAAATATTTCTAATAATTCAGTAGTTAATAGTACAGAATTAGAACGTTTAATTCGTTTACGTGCTGAACGTGTTCAAAGAACGCCGAAATGTGCTCGGGTATATTGAAAGAAAATTTTTTGTTTAAATTAATTTTTAGTGTCGCAATCATGGGGCTGTTTCTGTACTTAAAGGTAATTTTTAAGAAATAGCAAAAATTAAGAAATAATTTTCACTCTTTGCATTTCCTCCTCTAAAATAAAATTAAAGAGAAATTTAAAAAGGCCATAAACGAAGCTGTCCGTGGAAGGATTGTACATGTGCTAAATGTACACTTATTGCTGAACGTCAAAGAGTGATGGCTGCCCAAGTAGCTTTAAGAAGACAACAATCACAAGACGAAAAAGAAGCTGTAAAAAAGAATAGTGTGGCAAATTAACGGCAGTTTTCGCTATAACTTTTTTGATTAAATTTTCTAGAGTTCGGGTGTTTTCCTTTGCTTTCCGTGGACCAAATTTTTATTATTTAATATCAAAAAAATCCCTAGAGTGCCAGAAATTCAGGAAAAAAATAATTAAGGATTTTCATTTAAAATTAAAAAAAGTTATAGATAAAAGAAAAGCGGCCTCTAATTTACTGCACCTTGTAATTTTTCTTAAATTTAAATATTTATTTTTATTTTTTAGCAAGAATTAGGGTTAATTCTTGGTGTTGAATCTGCTTCTGAAATTCTTGAATTAATTAGACGTGCAAAGGCAGAAGCATCTTCAACAACAACAACAAAAGAATTTGACAATAATGTTTTAATAAAAGAAGGAGAAAAAGAAAAAATAAATAAAAAGTTTGGATTAAATAATGGTAAGAAAAAATATTTTTTTTTAAATTATCAGAAAATAAATGCTTATCTTATATTTAAAGGTAAATCAAAAATTTAATTATATTCACTAAATTTATTGAAAATTTTTGGACTTTTATTTCCCCTACTGTTTTTTTAATTTTTATTGTTTAAGGAAGAGAGAGAAAATGTTGGGGAGAGAAAAGGATTACTGTATAGCCACTTTCTTAAGAATTAAATTTTCTTCCTTTTTCACATTTTTGCCTTTTTAAGTACCAATTAAAAAATCAAAAAATATTATTTTTAAATATTTAAAAAGCCTTTCTTTTTTAATCTTTAAATATATTTTTTAATAAATAATCCCCAATTGACCGAGATTGGCAGTTAGTTAATATATTAGTTAAATAAATAAATAAAAATAGCAATTTGGATTAACCAAATAATTTTTTTTAATTAAAATTTTAGAGCCTGAAATCCAGAAAAAATATAACAATAATTTAACAAGACTTCAAGTAAATAAAAGAAAGAAAAAGGCAACTTTAATAAATGAAGGAGAAAATAATAAAAAGGTATTAAAAATTAAATTAAAAATTAAAAAATTTTTTTTCTTAAGGAAAAGCAACAAAATTTAACAGAACAACAGACAATTAAAGAAAGTTCATCTTCATCATCATCCTCTTCTTCAAATAATTTAAATAATCATTCAATTATTTTACCTCCTTTTCCTTTTTTTAATAATCCATTTTTTCGTTTTCCTTTCTTTTCTTCATTTCCTCTATTTAATTATTCCCCAATTTCTTCAAATTCTTCTTCTTCTATTTTATTTCAAAATGAAACAGATCAACAAAATTTTCAATTTAGAGAAGGAGAAAGTTCATCAGAAACAATACCTGCACAACAAACAGATTTTTGATTAAAAGGATTTTTTAAATAAATTTAAGGAAAAATTATTTTTTGTGGACTTGCAAAATTATTTAATTAAATACACTCTTTACATACAGTAGTGGTCAAAATGCAAATGAATTTAGACTATAACAATTAACGAACGCCATTAGCAAATTTCAAGAACTTTTGAATAGGCCTAAGATAAAATTTCAAAACAATCCATAGGGGGTCTAAAATATTTTATGAAAAACCCCCTATTTTACGTTGATTTTTGGGGTATCGATGACTCGACACTGATTTTTGTAGAAGATTAGATTAGTACTTTATTATAAAATTGATTTTTAACTGAAAAAATAGGTAGCGAATTTTCATTTCATTTATTTGTTGTCCCTATCTTTCTTGACCACTACTGTACATATATCAAAAAATTTGTTTGACCTAATAAATTAATGTGAATTCAAAAGATTTTTAATAAATATGTAGGTCAGGATTTTAACCATATTTATTTTGCTTTTTTTAAATTCCCTTTCCTTCGAAATTTTCATATATTTTCAAAATTGTCATAAAAATTTCAACATAATTCAATGATGTAAACCGAATGTTACATATAAAATATAAATCCAATTTGTAAAAGTTAAGAAAATCTACAAATTCTAATCTACTAATTGTATAATAATTTGGGAAATTTGTAAATTTATTTACCTTCAATTATGTTTATGTACATATGTACTTACCAAATATAATTAGGTGATTAATTTTTGCACTAGGCTGAGATGAGAAACCGACTTAACAACTCTACGAATAAATTTAACAAATTTAGAACACTGCTACATATTCAAAACAAAAAACAAATGCAAAAATACTTAGGAATTCGGAAAACTAATAAATTCTTGGATAAAAAAAAATAAACCACAAAACAAAACAAAAGATTTATTTACAAATTTATTTTACAAACAATTATACAGAAATGAACTACATGAAATACAAATTTGGAACAAATACAAAGGAAAACATTACAACAATTTGTGAGAGGGAATATCACTATCCTATGAGTTTTTACAGCTTGGTCCATATTATTCGTCGAACTTCTGTCCTGGCTTCGGTTTGCGGCAGAGCACGAGGAACCTGTGCACAGCGGGCCCTTCGAATCGCTCGTCCTTGCCTGCGACCACAGCCGATGCACGCTCATTGCGAATGTCAGCCTTGCCAAGTGCCTCCTTGCCATTTGGAAGAGTTAGCAGGCATGGCGAGATGTTTCCTGAATTGATGCAAAATTTATTTTTAAATTATTAAATGTAGATGCAAAACACACCTTTCACATGATCGACGTGAACAGGATAGAAGACTCGGGCGTTCTTGTCGAAGACAGCTGCATCACTCCACGGCCGCCATTGATAGTCGTAGCCACGGACACGTTCTGGGAGGTCGACCAGAACCTGAATGGAGCCGATGTTGTCGACGAAGGCCTTCCCATTCCAGCCGAATGCAGCAGCGACCTATGAAAAAAATTAAACTAGTTAAAACGGTAAAATATAATGGAGTGCTGTCACCTTGCCATTGTTGTTCCAGATCCGTCCCATTACTGGCTCACCATGCACATACCACAGGGCTACATGCTGCTCACTAGAATCTCCTGGTGCCGCACTCAACGTCTTGTCGCCTGCTCTGATCGTCTTGTAGGTTGGCCATGCGTCTCCCATCCTGATGTCTGCCCACTCATTCAGCATTATGAGTGGTGGTGGTACTGGTGGCGGAGGAGCTTTGAAGCAGATGTTGCACACGCATCCCAACGGTCCTCCTTTCAAGTTCCTACAAATTAAAATGTCAGGTAAATCAGAATGTTAAAAAGAGCAAGATCTCACCTCATTATGATCTTCATTTCCGAGAGTGGCTTCCCTACAATGCATTCCGCCTTCCCTCCCTGTGAGAAGAAGGCTTCCTCCGTCTTCATGTTCAAGTAGCCGAGCAGTGTACCACCGGTCCTCCCCTCCCAGAGAATCGGCATCGAGTCGCCGCATCGAACCAGCTGTCGTTCGTCGGTTTTCTCGAAACGGTCCTTGTATTTGATCCACTCGTACCAGTAGCCGAGCGTGTTGTGGTCACCCTTGTACTGCAGCACCTGTTAAATTTAATATTACGTATGATTTTTGTTAAAAAGATTGTCAAAATTAACTCACTTGAATCATGCCGCCGAGGTCTTCCTTTCCCGTGAGCTCCGCCTTGCCATACGGGAACGAAGCCTGTACAACGCCACCATCGTTCCATGCATAGCCGTGCACTGGCTTTCCGTTCTTGTACCAAAGCGCGACGTACATGTTCTGCTGGCCCAGCACTTTGACAGGATTGTCCGGAAATGGTGCGCCGATCGGATTGAACGCCCAAGTGTCCTCCTTCGGGGCTGGATTCGGCATTGCGTTGACGTGAAGTGACGAAGAGTAGCTGTTGGTGGTGAGGAATACAAGTTGCTGTTGACGGTGACGAATATGAAAAACGAGCTGCTTTTATAGTAAAATTCTGAGGTTGTTTATTTTGATATAATTTTACTATAAAAGCAGCTCGTTTTTCATATTCGTCACCGTCAACAGCAACTTGTATTCCTCACCACCAACAGCTACTCTTCGTCACTTCACGTCAACGCAATGCCGAATCCAGCCCCGAAGGAGGACACTTGGGCGTTCAATCCGATCGGCGCACCATTTCCGGACAATCCTGTCAAAGTGCTGGGCCAGCAGAACATGTACGTCGCGCTTTGGTACAAGAACGGAAAGCCAGTGCACGGCTATGCATGGAACGATGGTGGCGTTGTACAGGCTTCGTTCCCGTATGGCAAGGCGGAGCTCACGGGAAAGGAAGACCTCGGCGGCATGATTCAAGTGAGTTAATTTTGACAATCTTTTTAACAAAAATCATACGTAATATTAAATTTAACAGGTGCTGCAGTACAAGGGTGACCACAACACGCTCGGCTACTGGTACGAGTGGATCAAATACAAGGACCGTTTCGAGAAAACCGACGAACGACAGCTGGTTCGATGCGGCGACTCGATGCCGATTCTCTGGGAGGGGAGGACCGGTGGTACACTGCTCGGCTACTTGAACATGAAGACGGAGGAAGCCTTCTTCTCACAGGGAGGGAAGGCGGAATGCATTGTAGGGAAGCCACTCTCGGAAATGAAGATCATAATGAGGTGAGATCTTGCTCTTTTTAACATTCTGATTTACCTGACATTTTAATTTGTAGGAACTTGAAAGGAGGACCGTTGGGATGCGTGTGCAACATCTGCTTCAAAGCTCCTCCGCCACCAGTACCACCACCACTCATAATGCTGAATGAGTGGGCAGACATCAGGATGGGAGACGCATGGCCAACCTACAAGACGATCAGAGCAGGCGACAAGACGTTGAGTGCGGCACCAGGAGATTCTAGTGAGCAGCATGTAGCCCTGTGGTATGTGCATGGTGAGCCAGTAATGGGACGGATCTGG